AGGCCGTTTTACCCACGGATATATCTGTAATGTGCCTTATCTGATCTGTGGGTGGGAAAATCCGTGGATCGGGTACAGTTAATATCCGGGTGTATCCATGACAGTCCCTAGTGCGGGACCTGATTGACTTCACCTATCTCGTTCATCGAAACGTTATTGATGAAGACGCACTGCTCGAAATTGACGCTGCTCTTCAATGTTTTCATGTCAATCGCGAAGCCTTTCGTCCAGTCCGCCCATCTGGATTTTCCCTTCCACGCCAGCATTCCCTTGTTCACTATCATTTTCTTATCACAGAATTTGGCGCCCCCAATGGTCTCTGCTCATCCATTACCGAGTCCAAACATATCAAAGCCGTCAAAAAGCCATACAGACGAACCAGTCATAACAAACCCCTAGGTCAGATGCTTGTCATCAACCAGTGAATTGATAAGCTTGCGGCTGCCCGTGTCGACTTCAAGGAATGTGGTATGCTCGAAGGGTCCATTCTTCCCTTTCACCTCCTCCCTGATGGTGATCTACCCCCCCACGCTCCCAATCCACAACTTCCACTCCTGCCAGTTCCCTATGACGATGAAGGGGAAGAATTTGGTATCGTTGACGAGCCTGAATCCCTTTCAGAGATCTGACTGGCCAAAACCTATGGTACGTCATGGGCCTATATTGGAGAGGCACTTGCTGACCTACTTGTTTAGTTCGTTGAATCCCTCGCGATATTTATCTCCTGTCCCAACACCTGAAGCAGCCACAACTCCCACTGCTTACACGTCGATTCCTCTATGGTTGCCTGAACCCTGATATGGCTGAAGACCTATCCCACATCCCTGAAAATGCCCTGCTGGAAATCAACAGAAAAGTCTTTGTTTACAACTCGGCGCGTGCTGTTTTTTACGCACCAAGTGATGTTTCTGGTATTGGTGGGATGCAACATGAGTGGATCCGTTCAGTCAAATCCTGGTATGGTGGTTCCGCACGATGTGATTGTGTTTTCATTGGGAAGTCGGAGGAGCCTGGGTTTCGTGGGCTCCATGCCGCACGTGTCTTTCTTTTCTTTTCTTTCAAGCACGATGAGGTTACTTATCCATGTGCACTTATTCACTGGTTTTCACCAGTTCGTGATACCCCTTGCGAGGAGACAGGTATGTGGATTGTTGAGCCTGACTGGCTTCATGGTGGCAAGCCGTTCCTTGAGGTTATACACTTAGATTCTATTTTATGAGGTGCACATTTAATTGGTGTGTCTGGTAAACATTTTCTTCCCCTTCACAACTTCAATTTTTCGAAATCCTTAGATTCCTTCAACTCTTTCTATGTTAATAAATATGTAGATCATCATGCACACAAATTAGCCTTCTAATATATATGTTCATATATTGCTCTCCATAGTATAAATTTATAAAGAGGTAAAAGCTGCTGAAAGCCAGAAAGCTATCACAAAGAGGTCTCAAAGTGGGAGTGAAAGTGCTTGTGAAAGTAAAAGAGGCCAAAAGTGAAAGTGAAAGCGCTTGTGAAAGTGAAAGAGGCCAAAAGTGAAAGTGAAAGAGCTTGTAATTCTACTGATGCACTTGATGGTTTGTGCCTCCCTTTCATGGGACATCCAATCCGGCATCCTTGAGCACCATGATGACCTACACGCCCATCCATTTCCACAAGTCCAACAGCATCCGCCATGGTCAAAAGATGGATAATTCGTGAAAGAATTATCGCATCCCTTGCACCATCCCAAACAGGAATTCCCGCATTGTTATTTTCATGTTGACATGCTGAGATATGGTGAAATGACCGAAACATGAAAGAGTCTGAATTCTTTGGCTTATTGGGGCCAGGAATGACAACACCAGGAAGAACATGCTTCTTCTTGTAGCGAGTCATTGGGCTATATTCGCAAATAATGCACACTGCAAATCCATGTGTCTGACCCTTTGTTCCGATACAGTTGGGCACCGTCAAATGAATATATGGCGACAGTGTCATCACCAGAGATATCTAGCTGCTCGACTAAATCCAGGTAATCACTGCCGGAGAGGAAATCTTCATAGACAAATTCAATGTCTTCGCCATCCTCTATGGCTTGGTGAATCTTGAGAATCTCTTGTGTTCGCTTATGTCGATACGACATGGCGATCGAACTTTCTTCAGACCGTCAGAGAGCTTGTACTTGTGGACCCAAAGGGAATGTGCAAGCCTGCTTTCGAGGAACCTTTTTCCCTGTTTTTTCGAGAATGGTGGGGTCATATCGGGATTGTGAGCAGTAGTAGCATGCCTCCAGCTCAGCAAATGGCCCCGTAAAAGCATGGCAGGAGTTTATGCACATATCGTCCGACACAGAAACGACGCCGGTGACCTGTTCGACCAATTTTTTCGCAGCATCATAACTCAGTAAGCTGTCAGAAAGTTCTGGAAACCATCGAATAAATGAATTTCGGATGTTACTGTACATTCGTTGTGATGAGTTCTTGCATGACATGAAGATATCGAGAGAAAGTCGGGTATTGGGATCTGTGATGTCGATGGCGATAGGTCCTTGCTCTGGATTACGCAAACGATGGAGAGTCTCTCTGTCGAGTTTGGCATTATCCAGTGTCGCATTTTTTATTTCTTCAATAAATTGTTGTGTGATCCGCACATGTTCGATACACGAGGGTTCCTGAGAAGAGTTGTCCGGCTGCTGGTCTTCCTCAGGTTCTGCATTTACAGTGGCTATGAGTTCATTGTGCTGCTGAAGCTCCTCTGCGCTGGTCTTGGGATTGTAGTCAGGCAAATTGTAGTTTTGTGGGTCAAGATGAGCAAATTCTTGACTGGGCACTGTGGTTTGAGTAGGATCATGAACGGCGAGGGAAACTC